GAACTGATGGTGTAGGCTTCAGTCCCAAAGCCAGTGGGCTTGAGACCCAGAGAGACCACACATTTCAGTTGAGTCCAAGGCCAGAAAAGACCTATGTCTCAGCCCAAACAGCCAGGCAGGCCAAGTTCCCTCTTACTCAGTTTTTCGGTTCCATTCAGGACTTCGACTGATTGGATGAGGTCCATCCATATTATAGAGAGCAATCTTCTCATTTAATCAACCAATTCAAATGTTAATGCCATCCAAAAATTACTCTCACAGACATACTCAGAATAATGTCTGAGCAATAATGTCTGTGTGTCTCTCCTCCCCATGGCCCAGTCAAGTTGACACATAAAATTAACCATCACTTAGGGAGAACATGTTCTTTGAAGGTCTGGAAAACTCAACTATGTAATCTATTGAGCCTGTTATCCATTTTTTGGGTGTTTTTTGGGTGTGGAGTTTGGCTAGCTTATTTTTTCATGAGGATCATGTTTGTGAAGCCATTCTGCCCTGCAAGGTCCCACATGGGTTTGTGCTTCCTGTTTTCCCTTGAGGAAGACTACTCTTCATTACTCCATGAAGACTACTAGGATCCAGAAGACCAAGGGAACCAAAAACCATGGGCTATTTTATTTGTAGAAACTGCTGACTTTGGGGCTACACCATTTAGGAGTTTGGATTTAGCATAGCAATTACCGAGTTGTAATTTTAACTGACCACTAGAGAGCAGTAATGGATCAAGAATGGATACAATATAATAAAAGGGCAACATTTGGTAAATAAAAGGTAGGTTTCTACCCTAGCTGGTTTGGTTCAGTGGATAGAGCTTTGGCCTGTGGACTGAAAGGTCTCAGGTTCAATTCTAGTCAAGGGCACATGCCTGGGTTGCAGGCTCGATCCCCAATGGGGGGCATGTAGGAAGCAGCCAATCATTGGTTCCCTCTCATCACTGATGCTTCTATCTTTCTCTCCTCCATCTCTGAAATCAATAAGAATATATATATATTTTTAAAAGGTAGGGTTTCCATGTTCTCATTAGGATCCTGAGATTTGGCTCAGTGGACAGAGCATCAGTCCATGGACTGAAGGATCCTGGGTTCGATTCCAGTCAAGGGCATGTACCTTGGTTGCAGGCTCCATCCTGGCCCTGGTTGGGTGTGTTTGTGCGGGAGGCAACCAACTGATGTCTCTCAGTTCTCTCCCTCTCTCTCTCTCTCCAGCCTTGCTCCCTTCCACTATCTCTAAAAATCAATGGAGAAAAAAATATCCTCAGGTGAGGATTAACAATAACCAAAAAACTTGTCCAAATAATATATTACAATAGATAGAAAATCTGGAATCTATTTGCTCCAAAATTCATTGTGTGAGTACAATAAATATTAATCTTTCACTCATTTTTAATTCATTTATTAAAGATCAATATAGCAGAGTAGCTAAGAATCCAGGCTCTGGAGTCAGACCATGTGGATTAAAATTATGACTCCATCACAAGAACTCTATACCTCAGTTTCCTCATCTGTCTATGAAGACACTTAGGATTTCCTCATAAAACTATGGAAAAAATGAAACAAGATGGACATAAAAAGTATTTGAGACAGCCTCTGGCACTTAGTGAGTACTTAATAAATTTGAGCTATTGTTATTAACTAAACCAATATTTATTAAGTCACCTCTGTGATCTAATACCACTGTTTTAGGTATACGGGATGGATAGACCACACAGACACACACACACACACACACCTGCTTCCTGCAGTCTACATTCTAGGGAAGGAGCTAAACAATAAACAAAATAAGAAATTTTTGTATTTTTCTTAGTAAGAGTAGTGAAGATCGCCAAAAATAGAGCATGAAGGGGAGTGGGGAGTGCTGGGCTGGAGGACAGAGAGGCCCTGGTGGAAGTCAGCTTCTGATTCGCTTCTCAGGAAGTGTCAGCCCTTTTCACCCTCACAAGTTGGAGTCCAGTTCACCTACTGGATGGAAATGGACCTTGATTAGAAAAGAAATCCTGAGTCTCATTCGCACCTCCTTACGGAGCCCCACCGCACACAAGTCAAGTCATCTCTGGGGCCTGGACTAATATTTTTTATTTTTATTTTTTTGTCAATTTCCCCCCTAAGATATTTTCCATTGATTTTTAGAGAAAGTGGAAAGGAGGAGAAGAGACACAGAGAGAGACACATCAATCGGTTGCCTCCTCTCGTGCCCTGACCAGGGCGGGGATTGAGCCTGCAACCGAGGTACAAGCCCTTGTCTGGAATAGAACCCAAGACCCTTCCTTCTGCGGGCGGAAGCTCTGTCCACTGAGCCAAACCGGCTAGGACTGGGCGCTAATATTTTTTAAAAGCATCTGGGTGTTTTCAATGCATAGGGGGAATTGTCTGAATACTCCTTTGCTGGGGTCCAACCCCAGCAGGTCCAGGGGTCCCCAAAGGTGTGGACGGAGTCTGCGAAGAAGGAATGACACGGGGTCAGCATTCAGTTGATCAGCATAGCGAGGTTCTCCCTCCAGGATCTCCAGCCAAGTTCTGTCTAGGTTCTCTTGCCAGGTTCAGTCGCCAGGTTCTGTAGCCAGGTTCTGTAGCCATGTTCTGTCTAGGTTCTCCAGCCATGTTCTTTCTAGGTTCTCCAGCCAAGTTCTGTAGCCAGGTTCTGTCCAGGATCTTTTGCCATGTTCTCTCCCCAGGTTCTCTCGCTAGGTTCTGTCTCTAGGTTCTGTGTAGGATCTCCAGCCAAGTCCTGTCTCTAGGTTCTGTGTCTAGGTTCTGTGTTCTGTTGTCTTGTTACATCTGTATTTATACCAGTTGATTTTAATCCTATCAACTTCTATTCCAAAGGTTAGGGTGTTTCTTATCTCCATTCCAGGGAGTAAAGATTATGTAGTTTAAGCATGATTGTTTGTAGTTAAAGGGATTAACTACCCGCCTGGCACTTAGTTAAGGGGTTTTATCTCCTCCCTAACTTCAGGGAAAAATACCTACCTGGGGAAACAACCTTTCTCGGAGAGGTGACCTTGGTTAAAACACATAGCGCTAAGGGGAGCAAACATATTAAGAACAGTATGCTTTATATGCCAGGTCCTTTGAAACATATGCTGTGCAGACGTTCCTTCTCTGCAGCGACTGTGTCAAGCAGCAAGGATGGACCGGCTCCCGGCACTCCTCTCAGTCAGCCGTCCACACCACCCCAAGCAGGAGTGTCTTAAACAAGGCCTGATCTTGGCCTTCCCCTGGCACAACCTTCCATGGCTCCCATCAGCAAGCCCCAACCCTGCACAGCACGCAGGCCTTTCACAATTCGGACCCAGCCTCTTTCCACTAATGACATGAAGGCCATGACTAACAGTGTTTCCTATGACCCTAGCAGAGTCCTGAGGGCTCCACATGTGTTACCCTAACCTTAGGAGACGGCGCCTTGCCTCAGTTCCCTCCCCTGTAAAATGGGAACGTTTCGAGAAAAGCATTCAGCACTATGTCTGGTACATAGTTACCTCCCGGTTAACAGTAGCCATGCCTGTCTCATCCATGTTTTATAGATGAAAAAGCTGAGGTTCGGGGGCTGCCCAAGTCCATAACCCTGGTAGGTGACAAGCTGGAGCCTGAACCCAGGAAGTCTGGCTTCAATGCCCAGACTGCCTACCTTTCACCCTGTTGCTGAAGGCCCGTGTTCCACTTAGAGCCGCTTCCAGAGCCTGCCTTGACGAGGTCTCCAGGCCTTTGCACAGGGGTTCCCTGCTTCCCTCCACTGTGGGAACGCCTCACTTCCTCCTCCTCCAGGAAGCCTTCCTCCCCACGCCCCTCCCCCATGACCACCCTAGGCGAGGCAGATACCACCCCCTCGTCCCCCTCAGCCTTCTCAACAGACCTCTCTCTCCACTCTCCCTCAGGGTGACAGTGTCCCTGTCACCTCGGGCTGGGCCATGCCTGGCCTGGAATGGAGCAGGCTCTGCCAATGTTTGTTGCATCTGTTGCTAATCAAATCCATCAGAGAGAGCCGGGCCAAGGGTGGTGGAGAGCAGGGACACCTCTGTCCTCAGCTGTCGTGTGCCCCCCAGGGCCAGCACACTCACTTTTCTTTGGCCAGAGCTTCCTCCCCATTAGCCAGAACTGCCAGTGCCCTGGCCCTGGCTCCCACTTCACTCTCCAGCTCCTCCCAAAGTTGACCAGAGGGTGGTTCACCTCCACGGGGGCCTGTACCATCCAGCAGTTCGAGTCCGGAAGATTCCTCACCTCCCCAGTTCATTTATTCAACAAATGTTTATAGAACATCGACTGAGCCAGGAACAATGCTTGGTGCGGGTTGCAGGGTAGAGCACACACTAGGCGTGGTCCCGGCCTCACGGAGCGTACATGCTGGTGGGGGAGACCATCAGCCAACAAGCACACACGTTAGTGGTGTGCAATGGCAAGTCCCTTATAAAGGGAAAGCATAGGGGACTTTGAGACAGGCTCACTATTCCAGCATAATAGTCAGGGAAGGCCTCTCTGGAGGCGACTTTTAAGCCAAGGCCTGAGGCTATGCAGAGCTCGGCCAAGCAAAGGGTCGGGGAAGAGCATCCTGGGCCAGGGAACGGCATATGCAAAGTCCAGGAGGTGGGAGCATGGCTGGGATGTTGAGGAAATGAAGGTAGGCCGGGGTAGCAGAAGCACAGGGAACAAGACTGGGATTGGTAAGAAATGAGGCTGGAAGTGAAGTTGAGACCAGAAGAGAAAAAGCTTGGATTTTCTTTGGAATGAGAGGGTAATAGAGTAAGGGTTTTAAACCAGAATCAATATGTTATAATTTGCATGTTTAAAGCTCTCTCTGGTCTCTGCTAAGAAGTGATTGATAGGCAGAGGGGATGAGGACCTATGAGGGTCAGGATCTGGGGGCAGGTGATGAGGTCTCCAGGCCTTTGCATAGGGGTTCCCTGCTTCCCTCCGCTGTGGGAACGCTCAGGGGGTGGCTGTGGGTTCAAGGTCATGGATGGACTCCAGAGATACTGAAGAAGTAGGACCACTCAGAAGTTTCCAGAATTTCAGAAGAATTTTTTTAAAAAACTTTATTGGATGTGTGCAACACCCCCAGCAGTGGGGTGGGAGTCGGGGGCACCAGAAGGCTTGGGAGTATGAACAAAAGATACAAATCCTCAACCACAGAAACAATTATATCCAGTCACCCCCCCACCCCCCAATCTCTTGGGGAGAATGAACCCAACCTCAATGAAGATGCTGAGAGTTCTGGGCCCTTTCCACCTCCTTCAATGGTGTCAACAGATTCTTTTGGAGTTGGTGCTGGAAACACGGGAATGGGATGCCCACTGCCCCACTGTGAGTAAATGCTGGGGCTAGGAAGTCGCCAAACTCTGACCTGGTATCCTGGGAGTAGTGAGCCACCACCTGGGATAGCCACAGAGAGGGAGGAGGGGGAGGAAGGGGAGAGGGAGGAAGGAGGAAGGAAGGAGGAAGAGTTCTTCCTGCCTTTTGTGAGAGAGTGGAGTTGGTCTTACCCTCTGCCACCTCCCCCTTCCCCTGTCCCAATCCCGGGAGCTGCTGAAGCCCTGGCCTCTGGGGCTCCCTCGGGCACTCCAGGCGGTGTCCCCTCCTCCAAAGGACCCCTGTGCTCAAGGCCGCACATCTCTGGATGGTACTGGACAGCAATCTGAGGAAAGAATTACTTGAGCTCTTACGGCCTCCTTGAGGAGCCTGTCTTTTCAAAAGAGCTTTCTGGGTCATTTACATGATCTCTGCCCTCCGGCCCACTTCCCTGAAAAGGCCCTTTTCCCCTGGGGTTTCTGCAAACTCTACTTTTGAGCCCAGGGAGTCTCCTTCATTTAGGCGCAGTCTCCTTCAACTGCGCCTCTGGGGAGGGCAGTTCCATCGAAGGGTGCAGTGCGGGAATCTTCCCAGCGGTGACATTTGTCGTGTTTAATAACCAGTGAGCAACACGCACCAGCATTGCCCTGGGAGGGCTCCCTGACCTTGGGTCTGCTGGACACTAACCAGCACAGGGATGCTGGGGGCAAAGCCATGTGGTGGGGACACCCAGAGCCACTCAGGGGAAGCAGGGAGAGGCCGTGGAGCACAGGTGTGTTTCTACATCTTAACAACAGGTCTGGGAACACTGGTCCCGTTGAATGTCAGTCCTGTGTCTGCCCCAACCTTGTGCAGCCTCTGCCCTCCCACGGGGAATGGTGGCTGGGCCATCTGTTCCCTCTGAGAGGACACGTGCCCTGGGCTGGAGCTGGGTCAGGAAACGGCCTGTGAGCAGAGCCAGCTGTGTGGAATCCTGGGTGAACAGGATCTCAGGCCCTCGACCCACCGTGTGACCTTGCAGGGCCAGGCCGCCTCTGCCTGCCCTTCCTCTGGGCCTCCTCGCAGTTATTTTCGTCCAGCCTACAGCCTTGGCCGTCCCAGCAGTCTGGGCTCTGTGAGCCGGATGCAAACCAGGCAGCACGAACGTCTGGTTCTGAATCCCAAGAGGATTCCTCTCGGGGCGCCATCACGTGGGAACAGGGCTGTTCACACCGTGCGCCCAGCAGGGACCACACGCCTGGAGGGTGGTGACAGCGCAGGGCAGAGAGCTGGGTTCTCTGCTCAGTGCTGGCTCCGGTCTGAGCGCGCTGTCCCAGGCCTGGTGGTCGGGGTCCTGGAGCCGCACTGCCGCCAGGAAACCTCCCAGCTGTGTGCGGGGAACTGCTGGTCAGCTGGCAGGAGGGTGTCTGCAGCTGGGAGAGGGCAGCAGCAGGCCCTGCGGGGCTCCCGATCCCCAGGCCGTGGCCGCGGTGGACAGCAGCTCTGTCCTGTGGTTTGCTGTGCTGGGCGGGCAGGAGACAGGTGGGCAGGGCAGACACTGGGTTCCAGCTCCTGGGGCCTGGGCAGGCTGCAGCCAGTCACTGCTCCTGGTTGGGGTCTGATCTCTCTTGGGAAGCAGCCAGCCTCAGTCCACTGTGCTTTTAGGCCAAAGCTCTGTTCCCAGAGCGGAGATTCATGCCTGCTGCCCGTGTCCCGGGGCAGGAGAGGGGTCTGGGTGCAGCTCGTACGAGTAGGTCTTCCGGAACTCATCTGTCCAGGTCAGAAGTGAGAGCAAGCCCCCGAGATGAGAAGAGCTGCAGGAGAGCCGGTGGGAAAGCTGGGAGGAGCAGTTAGGAGGGGATAAGGGCCCAGGGAGCAGGGGGCCTCTGGTGGGTGAAGACGCCGCCGGCACTCATGAGCCAGTCCAGGGGGGCAGGGCTGAAAAGGCAGAGCCACTTTCAGCTCCTGGAAAAGAATTCTCCTCACTCAGGGGGAGGGCATCTTAGAACGCCCCCACCTCCGTGATCTCGGGGGCCCAGGAGTGGCAGAGCACAGCCCCCGCCGGCCGCCCAGCAGGCCCGGGGGAAGAGGGCCTGGGGGCCGGGACACTGGCATAAGCAGGGGACCTCCCGACAGCAGGGGCCGTGGGGGGAGAAGACGGCAGGAGGGGTGCCATGTGGCTGCTCCTGGCTGCCCTGCCGCTGGGGGCCATGGGCAGGGGGACAGCTGGCCTCTCCAGAGGGCGGACCCTCCGGGCAGAAGGTGCCCCTCGACTGGGCAGCAAATTCCTCCGGGCTGGCAGGAGGGTGCCGGCGGCTCTGCGCATGGGAGCGGTTCGGAGAGCTGGGGCGGGGTAAGTAAGAGAGGAGGCGCTGGGGAGGAGGGGGCCGGGCACTCTTCCTAGGAGGGCAAGCTGGCTGTTGGGGGCCGACAGCCCTGGACAGCTATGGAAGAAGGACCAGGGCCAGGCAGGGAAGGCCAGGGGGCTGGCAGGGGTGGGGGAAGGCTCCATCTCGGCCGCGTAGCTGTTGAGGTGGGAGAGAAGGCGAATCCGCACGGGGTCCGCACGGCTGCTGGGTCCTTCCAGGACCCCCAGGTACCTGACGACCTCGGTGAGGCACTCCCGGAAACCGATGCTCCGGAAGTCAACGGCCAGGGTCCGGGCATCAAAGAATCCTGCAAAGCGAGGTGTGATGAGGGCATGCCCAGAGGGAACACAACCAGGAGCCAGGGGTCAGCCGGCCTGAGTTCTGGACCTGCCTTCCCCACTCGCTGCCTGTGTGACCCCGGGCCCCTCACCTCTCTGAGCCCTGGTCTTTCCACCTGTAAAGTGGGAAACATCCCTACTGGGGGAGAGGGGCTGGTTTGTGAGCATCAGATGAGTTCACTAAACTATGAAGTTTTACAAAATGTAAAGTATTGTTTCAGCACAATTTGTGATTAATAATACAAAGAAGAAACTGCGACCAAGAAAGTAGAGACTTGCCAGGCGTGGAGCGTAGGCCAGCCCCGCCTGCTGATGTGGGCAGGCACTGGGAGACTCCTTGGAGAAGGCAGTGAGTACAGTGTGGCAGGAAGCCTGAGGCCTTTGGAGGCCACTTCACAAGCTGCCTGACCATGGACAAGTCTCTTAATCTCTCTATGCCTCAATTTCCTTAGCTGTAAAATGGGCATGTAACAGTACCTGATGCATTGACTTGTGAGGGTAAAATGAAATGAAATGGTGCACAGCCCGGCCAGCGTGGCTCAGTGGTTGAGCATCGACCTATGAACCAGGAGGTCAGGTTTGATTCCGGTCAGGGCACATGCCCAGGTTGCAGGCTTGATCCCCACTGTGAGGCATGCAGGAGGCAGCTGATCAAAGATTCTCTCTCATCACTGATGTTTCTATCTCTCTCTCCCTCTCCCTTCCTCTCTGAAATCAATAAAAATAAAAAATAATGAAAAAGGCCCTAACTGGTTTGGCTCAGTGGATAGAGCGTTGGCCTGCGAACTGAAGGGTCCCAGGTTCGATTCCCATCAAGGGCATGTACCTTGGTTGCGAGCACATCCCCAGTGGAGGGTGTGCAGGAGGCAGCTGATCAATGTCTCTCTCTCATTGATGTTTCTAGCTCTCTATCCCTCTCCCTTCCTCTCTGTAAAAAATCAATAAAAATATATTTAAAAAAATAATGAAAAGGAAATGGTGCACAGGAATGCTCAGCAAGGTAAACGCTAGCCACCATGTACAGGCTGCTTGCCAACCAGCCCCAAGGCCGTCTGGAAAGTGACTCCGCTTGGCCCTCAGCGCCTGCCCTCAGGCTGGGCACCCTGTCTTGGCTGATTTCACTGAGGAATGGTCAGATGGACTGCCCACTGCCTCTCCACACCTGCCCTTCTCTCCACACCACCTTCTGGGCAGACTCAGAACAGCCCCCGTGAGCAATGGCCTCAGGACTATCGCAGCAAATATCTGGTCCCTGGTTCACAGCCGAGGCCCCCCGCACAGGGGCAGCTGGGCAGGAGCCGATGTTTGCAATCAGGTCTCCTTGGAAGTGAGTGCGCCGGTTCTGCTGTATACTTAGCTGTGCTGACTGTGAGTAGTCCCTTCGCCTTCTGTGTTCACTGTGTGTTTGTTTTTAATATGTTTTTTTCCATTGATTTTTAGAGAGAGGAAAGGAAAGAGAGGGAGGGAGGGATATATACACACACACACACACACACACACACAGATGAGAGAGAAATATGGATCAGCTGCCTCCTGCATGTTCCTACTGGGGATCGAGCCTGAAACCTGGGCATGTGCCCTGGACCGGGAATCGAACCGGTGACCTCCTGGTGCATGGGTTGACTCTCAATCACTGAGCCACACCAGCTGTGCTTCACTGTTCTTTTTACTAGCGTTTGCTGAGTTCTTACTTAGCACTTAATTTGCATTATTTAAGTTAATTTTCATAAAACCCCCCCTTTTTTTTTAAAACAATTGATTTTAAATAGAGGGAGAGAGGGGGAGAGAAAGAGAGAAGAAAAAGGGCATAAAAACCCTTTTATTATTCTCATTTTAGAGATGAGGAAACTGAGGAATAGAGAAGTTAAATCATTTATCCAAGGACATAAAGCTAGTAACAGTAGAGCCAGGATTCAAATCCAAAGCCAATGCTCCCCACCACAATCCTGTCTTCCCATTAGGCCTTAGCCAGAAGATGGGGGTGACAGCAGCCCCCCCATGAGGTTTCTGTGAGAACCAAGTGAGATAACATTAGTGGAAGCATCTGAAACGATAAAATGCTGCCCGGGATTAGTCACTATTTGTCTTTAGTTGGAGAACCACAAATGCAGCTTGAACTCTCTCCCCACTGGCTGATCAGTGACACAAGTTTCCACTGTTGGCCGTGCGTTCCTGTGGCAGAAGTTCTCCAAGCGACCACCTGCATCAGGGTCATCGGGCGTGCTTCCGAATCTCGCAAATTCCCAAACTCCAGTCCAGACCTACTGCCTCAGAATCTCTGGGGTGTGGCCCAGGACCCTGCCTGCCCCCCAGAAGACACTGCCACCCACTGAGAGGACTGGTTGGGCCACTTAAAACGCAACTGTCCCCTCCACAGGGAGTAAGCTAAGGTTTTAGGGCTTAGGTCTTTGTGGCCAGGTCTGTGGAGCTTTCAAGGCTTCCCAATTGTGAAGTCACAAAAATACCCAGAGAGGATCTAGGTAAACAAAATTTCTGTTTGTCCAGAAGTCTTTTTTTTTTTATAAATAATTTCTAAAATATATTTTATCTATTTTTTACAGAGAGGAAGGGAGAGGGATAGAGAGTTAGAAACATCGGTGAGAGAGAAACATCGATCAGCTGCCTCCTGCACATCTCCTACTGGGGATGTGCCCACAACCAAGGTACATGCCCTTGACCGGAATCGAACCTGGGACCCTTCAGTCCACAGGCCAACGCTCTATCACTGAGCCAAACCAGTTAGGGCTGTCCAGAAGTCTTTTTAAAGCTACAGTTCCATGACTGTGTTGTAACAGACTAGTTCAGAATAACAGAAGGAGTTACACGCGTGTTCCACTTCAATCCTGAGACTGAGCGGTGAGCATGACGTATGAGCGAGCACTGCCGAGGACACAGCAGCCCAGGGAGCTAGCCCAGTGGGAGGCACACCGGTGAACCATCAGTGTCTGAAAATCTCTGGCCCGTTGCTCCCACTGGGACCCCAGGGAGAAGGAGCTCGTTCAGGCTGATGCTTAACGAGGCCCTGGGGGTGGGTGAGTAGGAACAGTCTGTTGGAGGAGTGGAGCTGAGGAAAGCGCTGGGACAAATGGAGACACTGAGAGTGGAGAGGGAGGTGCCAGAAAAAGAAGAGAGACAAGCTTTGCGAATGTTCTACCTGGATCTGCTTCAGCTTCTCCATGGACCGTGAGCTCCAGGAGGGCAGGGGCCACATCTACTTTGCTCATTGGTGTATCCCCAGGGCCCAACCCCGAGACACTGGCTGTAAATGACCCCGGAGGAGCAATGCATCAGTACCTGTCCCACCAGTCGCGTGGAGCATTTTCAAGTGGTCCACCGTCATCTGCAGGACCTCGGCTTTCTCCAGCTTGGAGGAGCCCTGTGTGTACAGACACAGAGGAGTGTTTCCCTTCCTCTCTCTAAAAATCAGTTTTAAAAAACATCTAGCGCTCAGCTCCCCTGCACAGAGTCATCGGCACCCACTGCGTCCGTTTCCCCATCTTCCTCCCACTCCATCACTGCCTGCGATTGGGCCTCTGCTTCGGCCGAGGTCTTCGAATCTAATCGATCCTCTTCAGTTCTCCTGTTAGCACACTTGCCTTCTGCACTGCTGACCATGCGTTCTGAAACCTCTGCTCCCTTGACTTCCATGGCACCCCTTTTCCTTGGTTCTCCTTTCACCGGGCCTCTTGCTTGCCTGTCCCTGAAAACCGTGGTGTCCCCAGGGGGGGTTGGCTCACTGTTCTCACTCTGCGCACTTTCTGCAGAGGATCTCGTCTATCTGCCTGGCTCCATACACCAGCACCAGAATGCCGCTCCTGAACCCCCGCCCCCCCAGGCCCGCTCTCTGGGGACCCACGTTCCTACTCACCCCACCCAAGGGCTAGCTTATCATCTTACCCCCAAGAGTACTCCTCCTCTATTCTCTCTCGGGAAATGTTTTGTAAGCCTCCAGCATCACCTGGTCTCCCAGGCGAAACCTGAGGGTCAGACTCCGCATGGGAGTGCCTTGAGGGCAGGTAGCAGGTGTAGTTCATAACTGGGCTTGTGAAGACTTTAGTGAACGCCAGTGGGATGACTGACTTGTTCTCACCAGCAGAAAACACATGGCCCATGACCGGCTTTTGGAGCACAGGTGAGAGTCTTTGAGGCTGTCTGATTAATGCAGCTTGTCTGACTTCCCACTGCCATCCTTCCACCCCGACACGTTCAATGTCAGAATGCTCCCTCCCTGAGCAGCCTGTTTCGCTTTCAGATAGCTTCGGAAATGTCAGGAGTGTAGAGCGTTAGGGCACCTTAGAGTCACAGAGTTCTATGTTCTAGTTCTGCTCTGCTATTTACTAGCTGTGTGACCCGGTGTAGGTTACTTCACCTCTCTGTGCTGCAGTTTTCTTAGCTGTGCAATGGGCATAATAATCCCTACTCTTCAGGATCATTTTGAGGATTCAATTCAATGGGATACTGGATATAAAGCCATAACACCTGAGATACCTCTGTAAGTATATATTTCCATTCCCCTTATCTCTGGCCAGTGACAGATATCAGCAAATGACATCACAGAACTGCAGGCAGCTGTTAACAACAAGGGATGCCATGATACAGGAACCTTCTCTGCCACTCACACAGATCGCCCACAGCACCATCAGCAGTGTCACATACCTGCTTCTCAAAGGCGGTGGGGACCAGGCGCCGCAGTTCAGAAAGGCTGCTGTTGATGCGGTCTCGACGCCGCTTCTCTATGATTACACGCAGGCACGTCACAGTCAGAGCAACATGCCTTGATGGACATTCACTCATATTTTCCTTCACAATACTTTTGTGGGGGAGATCAATCTATTCTTACTTTATGGAGGGGAAAACTGAGGCTCAGAGAGGGGCAGTGACTTGTTTAAGGTCACAGCAAGGAATGCAAAGTTGGGAGAACTCAGCTCTCTTGTATTGATCTGAAAGGGGATGTGCTAAACGGTTAACCACTGGTCCAGCACCAACCAATCAGAACAGGGACACCAGCCACAGCGCCCAGCGGCCCTGGAGACCCCTGCTGGGCCAGGAGGCCTGAGGAATCTTGGGCATTGCTTTTCTTGTCCAGCTGTGCAGGTTTTCATTCACTCCATCTCAGTCTCATCTCACAATAGTGGCAGCAGAGTACTGATGGCAGGGCAGAAATTACGACCCCCATTTTACAAATCAAGAAAATGAGGGCTGGCCCTAGCTGGTTTGGCTCAGTGGAAAGAGTGTCGGCCTGAGGACTGAAGGGTTCCAGTTCAATTCTGGTCAAGGGCACGTACCTGGGTTGCAGGCTCGATCCCTGGCCCTGATCAGGGCACGTGCGGGAGGCAACCAATTGATATGTCTCTCTCACATTGATGTTTCTCTCTCTGTCTCTCCCCCTCCCTTCCACTCCTTTTGGAAATCAATGGGAAAAGATCCTCAGATGAGGATTAACAACAACAACAACAAAAGAAAATGAGGGATGGATGGAAGCGGTTTGTGTGAGGTTGTCTGGTTAGTGAGTGGCAGGGCTGGTGCCCAGTGCAGACGCACAGCTGCATCTTGGGGGGAAAGTGGGGCTGGGATAAGATGGCCCACAGCAAGCAGGGGCATCGCCTTCTTTTGTCCCCCTTACCCCTCAGCACACAGAGGAAAAATGAAAGTTCTGGGTTCAGAGAGAAGAAGAGTAAGGCTGGGATGGATAATATTGGCTAATTGTGTGCCATGTATTGCTTTGAGTGTGTCACATTAATTCCCTTAATCTTCAAAACAACACTTGGAGCCCTAGCTGCTTTGGCTCAGTGGATAGAGCATAGGCCCTCGGACTGCAGGGTCTGGGTTCGATTCCCAAGGGCATGTATCTTGGTTGCAGGCTCGATCCCAGGCCCTGGTCAGGGCATGTGAGGGAGGCAAACAATCGATGTCTCTCTCTCACATCCATGTTTCTCTCTCGGTCTCTTTCCCCTCCCTTCCATTCTCTCTAAAAAATTCAATGGAAAAATATCCTCGGGTGAGGATTAACAACAAAAACATCCCCAACACTTTGGGGTAGGTGCCGTTATTATGTCAGGTACACAGTTGATGAAATGAGGCACAGAGAGGTGAAGTGTCCTGCCCAAGGTCACCCCTGCTAGCCACTTGCAGAGCCAGGATTTGAACCCAGGCCGTCTGGCTCGAGGTGATGTTCCTGACCAGGTCCCTGGAGGCTAGGTGCCTGGGGACTCAGCATAAACCTCTGGCCGAGACACTCACCCCTCTGCGTTTCTTCCGGGCTTGCATCTGCGAAGGGCTGGGGGTGGACAGCGGCCTGGCCATCTGGCTGGAGAGGAAGAGAAAGGCACATTTTTCAGAGCTGGAGGACCATCTCCCTGGCCTGGGGTGACCTCGTGGGCGAGCACAGCCCCCTGCTGGGCGTCTGTGGTCTCCCAAGCTGGGAGGAAGCACGGGGCAGGCGTGGGAGGGGAGGCATTCTCGCCCTTCTCCCCGGGGCCCATTCCTCCCGGGTCAAGTCCTTCCCTGCTCTGGGTTAACTGCCCCAGGCGGCGGGGTGGGGGGGCGGAGGGGGAGATGTCT